TCACATAGTGTTTTCTCTCTCTCTCTCTCTCTCTCTCTCTCTCTCTCTCTCTCTCTCTCTCTCTCTCTCTCCCTTTCTCCCTCCCTCCCACTATCTTACTAAAAATCAACGGAAAAAATATCCTCCCATGAGAATTAACAACAAAAACTGTGAGCTCTGGAATTAAATCCTCTGCATTCTGATATTCTTCCTACCGCTTACCAAATATTTGGTGTTGGGCAAGTTACTTCCTTCTCGATGCCTCAGTTATTTCATTTGTGAAAGGTTCATATCAATAGTATCAACTTTATATAGTTGTTCTGAGAGTTAAATGAGCCAACTCCTATAAAGGATTTATATTGAACTTGGCAAATAGTAAGTATATAACTAATGTGACATATCAGTGTTATGCTCTAAAATGCATTCCGTTTTATTTTTCTGTTGGTCTTATCACTGGTTTCTTTCTTTGTTTGTTTCAGATTCCCTGAAACTACAGTAATATAGTAAATAACAAAAATATATAGTCATCACAAGCTCTTTTGCTTACAGGAAATACATAGAAATTTATCTTATAAACATTGTCATGCTGCTTTAAGATTTTGTTTTACTAGAACAGTCTTTGTGTACAGTCATATTGTTATTGTCATAAACAATAAATGAAAATACCACAGGAAATCCGTATAGTATTTGAGAGAATTCCATTTCAATTTAGACCAAAATACAGTATTACCTACTTAGAGAAAAATATAATTATAAACACTTTTAAAGGTTGTCTAAAATTGGAAGAATGAGATGCCAGTGAGAAATTGACTCTTTCTGCAAAAGTCATTAAAACAACTTTATGCAAAGTACTGCACAGGCAATTTTAACTATATAGGTAAGTAAGAAGTAAGGCTTTTTGTGCAGATACTTCTAGAGGAAGAACTTGTCCATAGTGATGCTATAACATATACTTGATGACTGATCTTCAGTAAAGATGGGAGTGTAGGAACACAGATAGTTAGAGTAGAGCATTTCATTTATTATAAATACAGGATGCAGCACTGCTTAATACCACAGACTCTGAACAATAGATAATAAAAAATAACTAAATTTCTATAACTCACAGTGGATTTGGGAATTTAATACATAGCAAAATACAGTATGTATTTTATGAAGCTTAGGAGGTGTATAGAATAAGTGGAAGATCTAAAGGACCCTACTGAGCAGGCCTATCTTGAAGGCTGAAGGGTGGATGAGCCCTGGACGAAATAGAACAGACTGTACAGAATGGAAGGAGTGCTCAGGAATTAGGTTGTTATCTGCCATTTGTTTAGAATCCAAGAGCTTCCTTATTATGGATATGTCCAGAAATGAAGATGAGCAATAAAACAATATATGTCAAGAATCATATAATGCCTGGTGCTATGGATCAATATTGACAACATTGATCAACCTGCTAAAAATAAAAACCCTTAGGCCAATATCATGCACAGGTATGGATTTTATGTGTATATTATCTATAGGTTATGAGAAATGTAATATGAGCTCTTAATATTCAAACTATCCTAGAATCCCAAACTATTCTAGAATCACTAAAACACCTAAAGTTCCTGACAAAAAAGTCCCATTCCAGTCCCTGCCAATACTTTCACAAGGACCACACATTGCAGTGTGTGTATATGTGCTTATGCATGCCCACGTGCAATCTGGGAAGCAATAACACAAGTGAATGAATTGACAACTACGACAATAAAGAGGAAAATTCCTGAAAGTCACTTGCTAGGAGTAGCATCAATAATTTCTGCCACTAAACTGGAGTTCTCAAATTAAACCAGAGTCTATAATATAATGACAAGTCATATCATCATACATTGCATATTAATATTGATATTAGAAAAACAGACAACATGAAAAAGAATGTATAACTATGAACTAACTTGAATCCATTTTTAAAAAATACACCTATATTGAAATAGTCAAAGCCAGAATTTACAAGATTGTTTAAAAATTTGATGAAATAATAAAAATTTATGAGAAGAAATTCTGGTTGAAAAAAAATCCCATTCATTAATGGAAGAGGATTTCCTTCTTTACTCTGGTTACACTTTCCTGCAGCAAAGTTTCTGTTTTCTGTCCTTTTTTTCTATCTCTATCTCTCTCATGCAATTTTTATTGGGAACAACTTAACATGATCTTTAGAATTCTCTTGACATTGTCTCATATGTTATATTGATCTTTGTTTCTCAGCAGTCTTTTTTTTCTATATTATGGTTTGTGGTTACAGATACATACTAAATTTATATAAAAATAAATTGCCTTTCTAATTTCTCATTCACTGGGAAAACTGGGTTAATTTCTGAGAGAGAAAAAAAGGATAAAGATATGCCTATTCTACTAAATTAGAAATACAAATCTCTTGCATATATTCTGAAGAAAACATTAAAAGGAAATCAGGCAATAGTGGGAGGAAGACACCAATATCCTTGAAGTCTTAGGAGAGTGCTTCAGATACAAGTAGTAAAATAAAAACCAGCACTACAGTACTAGACAAAAAGTCTACATGCACTTTTTTTTAATAGTAAAACGAGGTCAGAAGGATTAAATGTTCCTGAAATAAAGACCTTGTTATGAAGATCCAAAGGACACGGCATACTTCATTGTAATCAATAAAGAATAAACAACATGAGATTTGTTGTTGACATTTTGAACAAGGAGTTTATAGGTACTCTATAGAATTGTAACCTGTGATCTTTTATTTTTTCTTTATCTGGTGTTTTTAAAAAGCTCTGAGAGTGACTGTTGGGTAACTATAGGAAGATAAACACTCACAATTCGTGGGCAGTGTTATGACTCGTGAGTGGGAGAAAAGTCCATGGGGATGAGGAAGCAAGTTTCTTATCATTGTAGTATTTGCACTGTATGGAGGCAATGAAGAATCAACATTTAGTATATCGTTGTTATAAGAAAAATTCTGCCAGTCTTCTTCTTTTATTTAATTTAAATTTTGTTTAAAAAATATCCTTTCAGGTTACAATACTTTTCAGGGGGAAAGAGTTGCACCTTCCAAAGGGCAAAGAATATACAATGAGGAAAGGATAATCTCTTCAATAAATAGTTGGGGAAACTGGACAGCCAAATACAATGGGTGAAACTGGATCCGTCTCTTATACCATACACAAAAATCAGCCCAAACAGATTAAATATTTGAACATAAGACCTGTAACCATAAAAATCCCAGAAGAAAATAGTAGGTAAGATCCTTGACATTGGTCTTGGCAATGATTTTTTTTTTAATTTGACACCAAAAGCAATGACAATAGCAAAAATAAACATGTAGGACCATCTCAAATTAAACAGTTTTGCTCAGCCAAGGAATCCATCAACAAAATAAAGAGACAACCTATGTAGAATATGTGAATATGTTTGTAAATCATATATCTGATAAGCATTAATATGTGAAATAAGTAGACTTAAATAGCTCAACATTAAAAAAAATTGATTAAAAATGGGGCGGAGCATAGTGGTTTGGGTCAATTTCTGGATTCTCTATCTTATTCCATTGGTCTTTATGTCTGTTCTTGTGCCAGTACTAGGGAGTTTTAAGAACAGTGGTTAGGTAATATAGCTTAATATCTGGTATTGAGATGCCTCCTACTTTGTTATTCTTTCTCAGGATTGCTGCAGCTATTTCGGGTCTTTTTTTAATTCCAGATGAATTTTTGGAGAGTTCGTTCTAGGTCTGTGAAATATGCTGTTGGTATTTTATTGGGTATTGCATTGAATCTATAGATTGCTTTGGGTAGTATGGACATTTTAAAGATGTTGATTCCACCAATCCATGAACACGGTATGTTCTTCCATCTGTTTTTGTCTTCCTCTATCTCTTTTTTCAGTGTTCTGTAGTTTTCTGAGTATATATCTTTTACCTCCTTAGTTAAGTTTATTCCTAGGTATCTTATTCTCTTTTTTGTGCAATGGTAAATGGGATTGGTTATTTAATCTCTCTTTCTGTAAATTCACTATTGTTGTATAAAAATGCCATAGATTTCTGGGTGTTAATTTTGTATCCTGCTACATTGCCAAATTCATTTATTTGACGAAGGAGGCAAGAGCATACAATGGAGTCAAGACAGTCTCTTCAATAAATGGTGTTGGGAAGATTGGACAGATATATGCAAAAAAAAACCAAAACTAGACTACCAACTTACATCATACACAAAAATAAACTCAAAATGGATAAAGAACTTAAATGTAAGACAGGGAACCATAAAAATCTTAGAGGAATCCACAGATAGCAAAATTTCAGACATATGCTGAAGCAATATCTTCACCGATACAGCTGCTAGGCCCTAGGACCTAGGGCAATGGAAACTAAAGAGAAAATAAACAAATGGGACTACATCAAAATAAAAAGCTTCTGCACAGCAAAAGAAGCCATCAACAAAACAACAAGAAAGCCCACTGCATGGGAGAACATATTTGCCAATGTTATCACCGATAAGGGTTTAATCTCCAACATTTACTGGGAACTCATAGAACTTAACAAAAGGAGGATAAACAACCCAATCTAAAAATTGGCAACGAACCTAAATAGATACTTTTCGAAAGAGGACATACAGAAGGCCAATAGACATATGAAAACATGCTCAAAGTCACTAATCATTTGAGAGATGCAAATCAAAATGACAATAAGGTACCATCTCACACCCGTCAGAATGGCTATCATCAACAAATTAACAAACAACAAGTGCTGGTGAGAATGTGGAGAAAAAGGAACCCTCTTGCACTGCTGGTGGGAATGCAGACTGGTATAGCCACTGTGGAGAACAGTATGGCGTTTCCTCAAAAAACTAAAAATGGAACTCCTATTTGACCCAGTGATCCCACTTCTAGGAATATATCCCAAGAAAATAGAAACACCAATCAGAAAGGATATATGCACCCCTATGTTCATAGCAGCACAATTTACAATAGCTAAGATTTGGAAACAGCCTAAATGCTCAGCAGCAGATGAGTGGATTAGAAAACTGTGGTACATCTACACAATAGAATACTACACTGCTGAAAGAAGGAAGGAACGCCTACCCTTTGTAACAGAATGGATGGAACTGGAGAGCATTATGCTCGATGAAATAAGTCAGTCAGAGAAAGATAAATATCACATGATCTCAATCATTTGTGGAATATAAGAAACAACATAATCTGATGAACAAAAACAGATCCAGAGACAGAGAAGCATTGATCAGACCATCAAACCTCAGAGGGAAGGCAGAGGAGGGTGGGGGGAAGGGGGGGAGACCAACCAAAGGATTTGTATGCATGCATATAAGCCTAACCAATGGACACAGACACTAGGGGTGTGAGGGCACGAGCAGGGGGATGGGGCAGGGGGGATAAGGACATATATGTAATACCTTAATCAATAAAGAAAAAAGAAAAAAAATCAGCCCAATTTTTAAAAAATGGGTCAAAGGACCCGAATAGACATTTTTCCGAAGAAGATATACAGATGGCCAATAGGTATGAAAATGTGCTCGACTTCACCTATCATCAGGGAAATGCAAGTCAGAACCATGATGAGATATTACTTTACACCTATTGGATAGCTATTATAAAAAAGGTGTTTGTGAGGATGCAGTGAAAAGGGAACCCTTGAGCATTGTTCATAGCAATGTAAATTGGTGCAGCACTAGGGAGAACAGTATGGAGGTTCTTAAAAAAATTGAAAATGAGCCCTGACCGGTTTGGCTCAGTGGATAGAATGTCGGCCTGTGGACTCAAGGGTCTCAGGTTCGATTCCAGTCAAGGCCATGTACCTTGGTTGCAGGCACATACCCAGTAGGGAGAGTGCAGGAGGCAGCTGATCCATGTTTCTCTCTCATCGATGTTTCTAACTCTCTATCCCTCTCCCTTCCTCTCTGTAAAAAAACAATAAAATATGTATATTTTTTTAAAAATTGAAAATGAACAACCATATGATTCAGCAATTCCACTTGTGGGTATATAACCAAAGAAAACAAAATCACTATGTTAAAAAGATATCTGCATCCCCTTATACATTGCAGCAATATTTACACAAACCAAGATATTGAAACAATGTGTTAACAGATAAGTGGATCAAGAAAATTTCATTTTACTTTAGGTAGCCTAATATGAATGTAGGGCATACTCATACAATAAAAATAACTTCTATCTACACTAATAAAAGAGATACATGCAAATTGGTGTCACTCCGCTACCCTTCCCATTGGCTAATCAGGGCAATATGCAAATTAACTGCCAGCCAAGATGGCGGCCGGCAGCCAGGCAGCTTGAAGC